AAAAGAGTAAATTAGAAGTTTGAGAGACTTTAACCATTTCACATAAAACTATGACAGTTTTACCCTTTTCAAGAGTAACAAAACTCAAACCTTCATAATTTTTATATACAACAGTAGAAGAAGCATAGTGTTTACAACTTTAGAGAACACCAAAGGATAACTTACATCCAATTTTTCTTTTTAAAAATCAACTCGGTTACAGCTAGGAAAAAAAGAAATGTAAATCTATCTTCTTCGTGAATACAAAAAAAAAAATAGTCTTCTTTAGAATAAAAAATCAACTTTGCTGCGCACAGAAGAAGTTATTGTATGAAATTAAGCCAGTAAAGAATTAAGATATCAAAGTCTACTCTCTTCAATGATTCAGGTACCAGTCTGATTGTGCATTTTTCGTTCATGTTCATGTTCATATAAAAATAAGACATAGATGAACCCAAGGACAAGTGTACAAACTACCAAAGCAACCCAAGATATACCACAGTCAGCACCACTACAGTGGAAAATTCCCTGCTGTTCTTTCACCTGATTGTGGGATGAAAGCAGATCTAAATCTGGCGACTCACAATCACTCAAATCAACCAAAGGCAAACGAGGAAGTGGGATAGGTGTAAGAAGGGGGTCATGCAATTCCTCTTCGGCAGGGCTCACCTCTGTATCTTCAACCCACTTTCCCTCAGTTCCCATAGCATATACCTCTTCCAATTCACTACATTCTGATGCTTTCTTGGGAGTTGTGTGAGAAGAATGGACACCCGGAACCTCATGGCGAAAGCTTGAAAAAGCAGAAACAGGGATTCGGATCTTGCGAAGAGCATAGACTTCATTTTCCCGAAGAATGTTGTTTGCCTGTTTTATCTGGGCCACCTAAAATTCAAAGCATACAATATATCATCACGAAGCGGGAAAACATTGTAAACAATGGTTCTAGAGAAAAGACAGTTTTTACTTACAGAGCAGTTGTAGCGCAAAGCAAGAGAAGATAATGTATCCCCTGGCTGCAATATGTGGTCAATGAAATGTCCTGCAGGTTTCTTCGGTCGCAAGGCAAAGGAAGTCCCAGACTGCAATTCCTCAGATCCGCTTTCATTATCATCCCCTCCAAGAAGCCGGGATGATTCATTCTCATAGTCTATATCTTGTTCTCTATAAAGCAAAAATCGGGCATGAAGTTCCTTGCTAGAAAAACTAACTAAATTTTTTTTATCAAAATTACATGGTAGACATATCATACCTTGGCCTTAAATAAGCCTTTTGATTCGAAAATCGGCTGTTCATGACAAACCCATTAAATTTTTGACTTCCAGGGCCGGTTAAAGTTTACTTTAAATATTACTTTGTACATAAAATGTGCAAACATAACTTTATTGGCTACATGTAAATGATGGCTATTACAGTGCTTCACACGTCAAAAACCATATTCAGCACAATTGCTAAAAAAAATAACATTTTGAAATATTTAAATTGTCACGAACAAGCTGCGTATACGTTGCAAGTTCCTAAGATATACATTACGAATGGAAAACAATAGGAGTGTGTCCGAATTCAGCCACCGACCGAGCACCGACCGGTCGGTCGTCGGGCGGTCGGTGGCCGGGCCGTGGCGAGCCACTCGCTCCAAGCAGCTATGCCACCCTGTCCACATTGGGTTAACCGCGAACCGCGAAATCCTTTCGCGGGGGATGATCGTAGGGCGCGGGTCTTACGCGGGGGATCGTCGCGGGTCCTCCGCGGGTCCTCCGCGGGGGTAGTCGCGATCCGCAACCATCCCCAGCGAAAGGACTTCGTGGTTCGCGGTTGGCATAGCTGCTTGGAGCGGCTCGCGACCGGCCGCTCGACGACCGACCGCTCGACCACCGACCGGTCGGTGCTCGGTCGGTGGCTGAATTCGGACACACTCTAGAAACAGCTGTTTAAGATATTTGCCGTCGTCTCAATAACCATAACAAAAAAGTTGTCAAAACATAGAAAACGACCACCCTACCAAACTTCTTTCTTGACCTGTAAAATCCTATTGGCAATTATGTAAACGTTTCTGTCCATAAGAAGTCCCCGATTTTTTAAAAGTTTACCGCAAAATTTACATTTATTTGCAACAGCTATATGTTTGAATGATAATACTTAGTAAGATGTGCATCGTTTTGGATGTAGAGTTGGCACTAGAATTCATCTTCGTGTGAATAAAGGAATTATGCGCAGAGCAAAATCAACGTCGGCTCGGCGACTCTTGGCAGTCTAGTTGAATTTGTTTACCAACAGAAATAATTTCTCTCCTCCTTTCTAAGTTAAGGACTTAAATATAGCGTGCATGATCATGCCCCATCGTCATAACGTTGTCGATCAGTCTGCGTTGTGTTACTTATTTTCTCGAGCAGTGGACTGGGTAAGCGCAGCAGACTATAATTCGGAAGATGTTATGATTAGGTTTAACCTAATTCTAATGTTAGCTTATTCTCATGTGAAGGCTATAACAGCCATTTTAGTCCCCTTGTGGAGTTTAAGATGATGTTATGAAAGCGTCTATATGAAAATGTATCCCATCCTCACAAATAAATCTGTTTTTTCTCGTTCTTTCTTTTCAGGTGTGTGTAAGCGTCATTCTTGTGTCTTGGAGCTACGTTATTGCTGCTGCCTGCGTAACTGCTTCAAAACAGCTTTCCCCCAATATTTTAAGTGACAGAGGTTGGCTTAACACAAAGTAATCATTTACCATGGCGTATTCTGCTGATCAAGCCGCATTTCAAGTGCAGGTAATTTGCTCAGTGGTATTTTATAGTAAATACAATCACAAAAAATGTAGCTTACTGAAAATTCTCATCCCTTGTTTCTATGATTTCCATTTAATATAAATTTTATCTTTGAAGGAACGGTTGAAGGCTCTTTATAGATTGGTTCATGATATTCACGATGAACGTCAGCAAAGTGAACACAATTTAAATAGTATTGAAAAGGCTCATGAAAAAATAAGTGCAGAAGAAAGAGTTTCTCCTCAATATCAGGTAGGTATTCATCTAATCTGCACTCTCTGCAAGACAATGAAAAATGATGGGTGGAAGACAGTGCAAAATAATGCTTTTAAACAAGACATATTGTCCATTAATGCTTTTTGGGGGGGGGTCCAGCAACAGCTTAAAAATCTTTATACAGCAGCAGTTGCTGATGCAGAGCGAGAGGAAGATCTTATTCGCAAAGCTTTAACTAAAGTCAATGAAATCCGTGCAATACGTAATGAACGCAGAATACAGGTGACTCATAAGTTAACAATGATATTGAAACTACCAGTATTTCACTTAATGACACAAACTTCTCACTGTTTTTTGCTATTTTAGGCAAGAAATGCTGGGAACAAGGAAACAATTCGGAGAGGAGCCTTAATGAAAATGCTGTTAAGCTCTGCTCAAACACTACCACTTTGGGTGGGCAAACCAGGTGAAAAGGCACCTCCTCTTTGTGGAGCTATTCCAATGGAAGCATCTTATATTGCAAAAGTAACTATATATACTCACCATTTAGCAAAATCTTTTCAAATTCTGAATGTTCTAGTTAATTTCCAATAAAATGTGTTTCTGTTAAGCCTGGTGACATGGTTGCTGCTTTGGTGAAAGGAGCAGAAGAGGAAGAGAATTGGATTTTGGCAGAAGTAGTGAGCTACAATGGAGCTACTGGCAGGTACGAAGTTGATGATATTGATGAAGAGCAAAAGGATCGACATGTGTTGAGTCGACGAAGAGTTATGCCTTTGCCTCTCATGCGGGCTAATCCTGAGACGGACCACACTGCTCTTTTCCCTAAGAATTCAGTCGGTAAGCTCCTGTTTCCTAATGGTAATGTTAAAATGTCAGAATGGTTCTATTTTCCTGTTCCCCCAAAAATAATTGTTAATTTTCTTGCAGTTATGGCTTTGTACCCTCAGACAACATGTTTTTACAAAGCACTAGTCAATGCTTTACCATCATCTGCAACTGAAGAATATGAAGTTCTCTTTGATGATCCAAGCTATGCTGAAGGATATTCTCCCCCACTCCCTGTGGCACAACGCTATGTATTGGCTATACGTGATCGTAAAGGACATTCTCACTCTTGACAACAGCACTTGCCACACGGCTGCTTAGTACAATTACATAAAACAAATGAAGACACAGACACTGAGAAATAGAAGTATTGAATATCTATCACTGGGATTGAAAGCATTTTCCTCACTATTTCCCTTTGTTCAATTCATATGAATTTTAGATTGTAGTTTTAAGAGTAATGTGTAAAATTAATGTACAACAGAGTAAAATTGATTATGACAACTTTGTAAAGATCACATCTGGTTTATTATCTCTAATTCCTGTCAATTGATATAAATAATTGATGGCAATTACCATCCAACCAGCAAAACAGTAGTACCATACAATATATATAGGGTGGTACTAGGTAATAGACTGGGTAATCTGATCCAAACAACTTGCAAGGCTTTCTTGATTTTGAACTTTGAAGGTACCATGATGCAATTGATTCAACTTTTCTTGCAGCTCAGGATTCACTGTTGGAAAAGAAATTGCAACAAATTAAAAATATACAAAGACCTTAAATGCAAGAGTACTTTTAAATATAAGTACCATTAGAACAAGCTACAAGAAAACGGTGGACTAATGCTACAAAGCTCCTGTCCCAATCCATGGTCCACTGAATTTCAACTTGAGATGTGTTTGCCATTTGTTTTGTTGTAATTACCCAAGGGCTTCCAAAATTTCCCTATATTTGGAAATAAGATTGGAATTAGAAATACAGTTAACAGTAAGACTTAAATTAGATAAATAACCTTTCCTCACCTGTGCAAAAGTTGGCCAAAAGACAAGTAACTGAGTTTTTCTCCTTATATTATCTATAGTCTGTTTTCTAAAATTATTCAGGGAAACAAATTGACTGATTGTCGATAATATGAGGTGAGGACAACGTTCCTCAGCGAGGATAGCAAGAGTGTCTTTTATCTCCAACAGCGCAGACCTTGCATTCATTGAGATAGAAATTTTGGTAACCACATCAGACTAGAAAAGAAAAGTAAGTAAAACAATGGGCAGACATAGAAAGGAAAACATAATTGCTCTTGAATTGGCTCACATTAGTTGTTTGAATAAAAATCCCAAAACCCATGTCCTTCTCCTCACATTGCGCTGAGTATAACTTTTCGTCATTGTTAACTTGGCTCACATTGAATTGAGAAAGAACATAACCATAAACATTTGGCAGGGTTAAATATCCTTTGGATTTTTTATCACTCGACCTGAAGGAATACACATTTAATGAAATCATGTTGGTTTTAAGTTATCAAAGGAGAGGTTGCTCATTGGGCATGTATGCAATTAGATGTTATGACTTATTACCATTTATCATTGATGGTCAGGGTCTTTAAGCTTTCAGTTAACTCTTTCTTCTTGGCTTCTAAAAGTTTAATCTGGCGTTTCTTCTCAGCTTGAACCGTTCGCAGATCATGTAAGATTCTGTCCCTGCCGAAGCCGAAGTCATTTCGCTGATTGTTGTTGTTATTGTTATACATTACTCAATATTAAAAGCTTTAAGCGCTTCAAGTAAAGCATCAACTGTCGGTCTAAAATCAGACACGAAATATAGACCACAATACACTCAGAAATCACGAAATAACTAAGAAGTTACTTGAGCCTGTCAGAGTCAAAACATCAAAACAAAAACAAAAGACGAAAGAAGAACGGAAAGACAGAGACAGACAACCAGACAACGATTGGTGGAGTGGAAACGCGGGAAACTTGGTAGTTTCAAGACCCCACGGCAGGGAGCGCGGGCGGGCCTGCACGCCAGCTACCACCCCACTTGAACCGCTTGAAGTGACTGTTAGAAGTCGAACCCGCGGCGGCATTGGACAGGCCCTGGTCAAACCGTTAGGTAGTTGTCGTCACCATTGTACTCCGTGGTTGTCGTGGCTGTCTAACGAGGTGGGGGGGACAAATTGTAGTCCCATTTGACGAATGACTCTCCGGAAGTCACGCTGTGTACGAAAACCCGTTGCGAAGAGCCACCGCCCCACCCGGCCGCACTAACCTTCGGCCGCACCCCTCAACCAAAGCGAGTTGACAATATAACAATAACGATTCATCTGACTGTTCACTGTAAACGTTCACGTTGCCCTGGCCTAGACACCCCTCGAGCTCCTGAAGGGTGGCGGCACGCGGTCTCAGTTCAGCCTTCGTCGACGGCCCTCGCGCGGGTGGGGGTGAAAGGGGAGGGGGGAGGGGGTGCGCTCAGCCTGAGCGTCGCGAGCCACGACGCTCGCGCGCCAGCGCCAGTTGCGTGCCAAGTTTGGTCCGGAGCGGTGTGGCCAGGCCGCCCCACACCAGCCCATCAGACCCGCCCCGACCCACCCCCAGCCGACTCGCGCCCCGGCGACACGCTCCCCGGCGCGGGCACCCCGTGCCCCTGCTGGCTCGCTCCGGGAGCTGCAGTGACGCGCGCGGGGCGGGCGCGCCCACGTGACCTCGTGTGTGTGTGTTCAGATGAACGACGCGCGGCGCCGGGACTCGAACCCTGACTGACTGGGACGGCTCGTTGTCGCCGGTGAGTGTGCCGGATTAGTCCGGCCCGACAAACGCGTCCGATTATGCGCGGTTTCGAACAACATTTTTTCGAGGTGGCAGAGTCTGTAAAAATGAACTCAAGCTCAAGCGACAGTTTGCTTGTTTGCTTGACTTGACGCAAAGAGAAACATTTCTCCTCAAAATCATCCCTTTGCTTCTACCAGCACACAGCCCCTGACTGTCCCCTCGACCTCCCTCCAAAACCGTCGCGTCGCACCCGCGCCGCAGCCGCACGGCCGCGCCCAAGCAGCAGGTGGTAGGAGTTGGTCGCTGCGAACTCCAACTGTGCTCATTCAGTCTTCACACAATGGAGCCCAGCCTATTCGCAACCAAAACAACTTCCGTTCCTCCGGTGCCTCTCTCCCCTGCCCCCAATTGGTCTGACCTCTTCTTTTCATAATAATTCGTTTGTGCGAGAGGACTTTACTTGCCACTTCCTTCCCGACAAGTGACCGGAGTCGTAAGCGGAAACGTGCCGTGCCTGTCGTGAAGAGGCCCGAGGCCCGCGACTTCCGCGCTTTCTTGGTGCTACAGCGTTTAGAATGAGACTCCGCAAATCAAAAGAGCAGGGCACGCAAACTTATACCTAGGGTGGTGTCTATGTCTGTGCCCCGTTGTGGCAAGAATGCGTCTACAGGCGCACATGTACGGGTTTGCCCGGTGCCAACTTCAGTGGCTGTGTACCTTTCCCTGAAATCCGTTTAGTGTCGACATTGGTTGGATCGACAATACCGGGAATGCTCATGATGTTCCACGAGGACACTAGTAACTGGGCGACGGATGATGTATGGAGAGAGATGGAATCGTGAGCATGCCAAACTCACACCCTCCATACCTACCACACCCACCACTCCCGCTCTCAAGTTAGACCTGCCTGGATGTTGGTGTAGTCGGACCATGCGGTCGGACGAGCAGATCGGATATTTGTTCTAATTTCCAACTAATGGCTAACTTACGTTGGTTGTTGCAGGCCCGGCGCGGGCCACCCGACCAGCACTATGTGAGGGGGAGTGAGTCGAGCGTTGGCAGCGGGCCTGGGCCTGGGGTGTGGGGCCTCCGCCCCAGCCCGCGGCCCAGCCCCCGGCCCAGCCCCCGGCCCAGCCCCCGGCCCAGCCCCCGACCCAGCCCACACCCTAGCCCTCGGCCGGGCCACCGCCGCGCGTGGGCGGCCGCGCTGCGCTCCGAGGAGGAGGACAGCGACGAGGACATGAGGAGTCCCCGGGCCGCGGCGCCGCGGCTGGCGTCGCCCGCCTCCACCTGCACGGCGTCCACGTCGTGCTCGTCCTCCACGCCGACCTTCCGGCGCGTGCCGCTGGGCGCGCTGACCCGCGAGGCCAGCATCAGCATCACCGACTTCCCGGACACGTTCCAGGACTTCTTTGCGCGCCTCAGCGAGGACGCGGCGGACGAGGACGCCGACTGCGGGCTGGCCGTCATGGAGAACAAGCTCATACCGCAGCCCTGCGCCAGCCCTGCCCCCAGCCCCGCGCCCAGCCCGGTGCCCAGCCCCGCCCCCCTGCCGCGCCAGCGCAGCACGACCACGGCCTCGGCGCCCACCTCGGCGCAGGCGGCCGCGGCCACCAGGCGCACCCAGGTCCTCGCGCGCCGGTCGTTCCACCGCCGGCAGGCTGCCGCGGCCGCGGCCGCCGCCCTCATTCCGTTGGCCGCGACGGCGTCCCCCGGGCGGCACAAGCACCAGGGCGCGGCGCGCGCCGACTCGGACTGCTCCCTGCTGCTGCAGTCACCCGCGGTGGCTAACGCGGCCACGCGCAGGAGGTCGTCTTCCATCGCGGTGCCGAGGCCGCCGCCGGACGTGCACCGCTTCCTGCAGACCGAGCAGCAGTGGGCGCGCAAGTCGCCCTCACATAGCCTCGGGGTCAGCCCGGGCGCCAGCCCCGGCGCCAGCCCCGGGCACAGCGCCAGCGGGGGCGGCTCGGCGGCCGCGCTGCCCCAGACGCCGGGCCGCGGCGCGAGGGCGTCCGTCGGCAGCGCGACGCCATCGGAGACCACCAGCAGCTACCGCAACCGCACCGCCTCCATGCCGGCCGCCGTGCCGCGGCACCGGGTGAGTAGTCAATCATCGCCTCGACCCCCTTCTCAATGGCGACCAGGTCCAGCTGGGAGCCATAACACCCGACCGACGAAGAGCCCGGGCTGCTCCCTAGTCCTGGGAAATGACTTTTCTCTCAATTACTCCACCCTCTGCACATCTGCCCCCGTTCCTCTCTCTCTCTCGCCTCTGCGGCGCTCCGCGGCCACGCCTATTACTTTTAGAGGACCGTCCCCGCTCCGCCCCGCCCCGCCTCGCCCAGCCCCTTGAACGCGATAGGTCCCGCGGGAAATCGAGTATCGCAAGATAATGAACCGAATCGAAGGGCCCGTGGACTGGACGCGCAGGGCGGAGGGTGGGGCGGGGCGGGGCGGGGTTGGACACCCGCGGGACGGGCCGCCACTTCTTCCCTTCGGTAGCACGACGTCAGAGAGCGCGCGGACTGGATCGGTAGCCCCCGTTGTGCTGTGCTCCCCATTAATCAGGCAGTCAGGTTCTGCTGTAAGGACCCGAGAGAGACCGCCCGAGACCCGCGGCGGCGGCGGGCGGCGTGGGGTCCTCTTCCGCTGCTGCTGTTCGGCTTTTTCTTTGGCGAAGGCTGCCGAGGAACGTATTCGGGGCGGGGCACGACTGCTCGGCAAGAACCTTCATTAACAAGTCGACATAGGGACAGGACAGGGCCTTGCCCCCCCCCCCCCCCCCCCCCCCCCCCCCCCGCCGCTACGCCCGCCGTGCCTGTCCTCTGCGTTACGCAAGTCGTGAGGGGGGTGTCTGTACTTTTCTCAAGCGTGATCCTCGACGGCGAGCGAAGGGGCGGCGCAACGACCGACTATGTCCTTCATCAGGCTCTGCCCCGTCCCCTTCCCCCGGCCATACTACAGGGCATAAAGCGACCGCGAGAAGCTTACAGTTCACAGCTACACCCCCTATTTCCCCTCCCGCCCACTTTATTTGCATAGCTTACAATTTTACGAGAGGAAAATGAGAGTCAGCCGGGCCGCGTTTTTCGCCAGGAGGGAGGTAGAGGTGAGGGGATGGGGAACGGTTTTCTTCCGAAGCGTAATTTGGAATTTGTGGAGATTTATTGTGATCGAGGTATCGGAAAAGCCGCGCCCCTTGCATAGGCGAAACTCGTCGCTGCCGCCGCGGCATGGCAGTGTTGGAGTATGACGGGACGGGATCGGTGGGACGGTGCCCCCCGCCCCTTCCCCCCTCCCCATTTTCCTTCTATTCCTCCTCGTTCCTGGAGCCCAACGACAGACCTCTTATTTGCTTTAGAGTAATGGCATCAGGGTGAAATGAGAAATCACTAGCCCTGCACGAGAGCGCGCCCAGAGTTTGATTAATTGCATTTTGTATTTCGTGACAAATTGATCTATCTCTCTCTCTCTCTCTCGCTCTGTCTGCCTCTCTGTTTTTCTGTCTCTTTTTCTAACTCTCCTCTACCTCTACTTCTTCAGCGCACTTCTCATCCCTTTGACGTCTTTTCCTCTTGCCCTCCGGAACTCCGCTCTCCCTCCTGTGGCGTTTTAACCACCTACCCTCTCTGGCTTTAGCCCGCCCGCCCCGCCCTTATGAAGGATGATGACCATACCTGGCGTCATGACGCCAGGTATGCATCCTGTGCTTGCTTATCCGTCTGTCAGTGCCACATTGCACACCGCATAGTTACCGCATTTCCTCATCGCAGATGATGCGTCAATCTTAGTTAGTGGGACCCACTAGATAACCGAAGCTGCACCGAACGGGCCCAGCCCCGTTGCCGACGGAGTTGCCAGCGCAGCAAAGCGGAGCTGCCGACTCCGTCTGGTGAAAGGGAAAAGAGCGGGCCCGTTTGTCTCGCGTTTCTCTCAGTCGTACGCCTTCTCTTTTTCCCTCCCCCTCTGTCTGCTGCTTTCCCCCTGATCTGCGATGTGAACACAATTTGTCCCCGCAGCGAGCATCCCGCGCCGCGCCCGCCACCCCCGTCCCCCACCAATCTTGTTGAGTCGAGCAGAGCAGGCCGAGGTAAGGCATCCCTCCCCTTGCTATGTTTATGTAACTTTTCATCAGAGAAATTTAATAAGGCAAACAGCGAGACGAGAGTGGGGCCGCGCCGGTGAGAGGAGGATGCGGGGGAGGGAGAGGAAGAGAGGGAGAGTGAGAGGGAGAGAGACGCTTGTGCTCTGCATGTTCTGTGATTTGACTACTGTGCGGCTTCCGGACCCGCCAGCACGTCGCTCACCCCCCTCTGCTGCTGGGCCTCCTCCCTCCCCTCGGGTCCAGAGGGATCACGGCGGCAGTGGCCGTATCCCCCGCGCGTCGCCGCGTCGCTCTGTGCCGAGCGATGCCCGTGCTGCTGTGTATCCGCTGTTATATGTACCGTCGCTGTGCTCTGTAATCCGTTTAGTGATAAAGGTTGACGCCGGGCCGCCGCTTTCGCTCAGAGAGAGTAGCGGAGCGGAGCGGGGACAGGGAACGAGGGCAAAGAGAAGTGGCTTGATGATGGTATGCGTCCGGACAGCATGAAAGGCAAAAAGCAATAATGACAAAAAACGGAGTAATCAAAGGGGCATAAAAAAACGGGGGTTAAAAAAAGCATAATTCCGCAACCACTCCGTGTCGGTATGCGGTGGCTGCTGGCCATAGCCCTGCTGGGGAGGGCTCAGCGAGGGGTGAGAGAGAAGCCTAGGTTCCTGGAGCCTTACAATGTGTAGGCCGGGGGGGAAGGGGGGCAACTTTTATACCGATAGGTAGCGTCCTTCTGGTAGTGGCAGCTGGACGGGCAGAGGCTACCGGACACGCCAGCCTCCCCCAACCCCCTTCCCCTCTCCATTGCTTCGCGTCGTTTCCAGAACCGAACCAACTTTCCGTAGCTCAGCCTCGTGCTCGTCGACTTTGGCGACAAGAAGAAGTAGAAGTAAGTCACCCCGTGCCCTTAACCTCTTCCCCCACCTTCGGATTGCACCTTCTGCAGCAAGCATCCCCCCTCACCCCTTACCGAGCGAGAGTGGCAACGAAGAAGCAAGACTCTTGGACACTTGACAAGCTTACACTGCAGGCTAAACTTTAATTATAATTATTCAATTTCCTGCCTTCGTTTTATTTCAACACGCCGAGCGGGGAAAAAGTTTTGTTATGTTTGACTGACGCCGAGTGAAGGGCACGAATCAGGAATTGCGAGACCTGGCGAAGGCTGCTGAGTGCCGAGTAAGGAGAAGGGGCTGCACCAACCAGTTTTAGGGGGAAGGAGGAGGGGGGGGGGCAGGACTCGTCTACGCCG